TGCTATTTGCGGGATTTATTCTATGGGAAGTCGTGAGTTACTAAGAGAGAAATTTAAGGAAGCAAATAATTTCACTGTAATTTCACAGTACATATAGATAGATAGATTTATTTTTTATTGTTTGTTTAAAAGATTACAATAGTAAACTTATTATAGATACAAACAATTACAAGAAATAATCACAATGAGAAAACAATGGGCGACCTTATCGCTGAAAGCGATCTCTTCCAGGCAACCTTTGGGTGCATATACGTAAATATTTTTAAATTTTTTTCATCCATCCTCTCCAAATGACCAAACCACCGCAACATTCCTTTTTCGATTTTTGTCACTACATCGTCTTTCAGTCCACACTTCTCTCTTTTCTGTAACTTTATATTCAGGTATATTTGCAGAATTTTTATAAACAACTACAATTTACTTGTGACTTTGTCTGCTTGTCCGGGATATGTTCAATGACCGGCATAAGAAGTAGCCTACGTACTACTTCATCTTGTATACAATTTGTATACCAAATCACAAATAACTACTACTACTATACTAGTAACCAAACTTAGTAATTGGTTAAACAGTTAAGGCGCTAAGAGGTAACAAACAAACTTATTTTCACATTTATTATATCATTAAGAAAGTAAGGATAGCTTTAGCTGTTAAGGCGTTAAAAGATAACAAAAAAACGGACAAACAAACAGGCAAAAAGGTCCACATTTATAATATTAGTAAGGATTTTAATCGATACAGTCCAATACTGTGTTGAGGGGGGAAAGGGATTGTTAGCAATGGAGTTCGAAATTGTTAGCAATATTCCCTATCAGGTTGACCTCCACGTGGTTCCCCCTGGAAACCATCGTGAACAATTCTTGTTGAATTCGTCACGATGGGCTAACTGACCTGCTTCATCCTCATCTATCATCCCTCACTGGTGCCCCGCCGGTGTATACCAATAGCGCGGGTGGGGTTACCATTCCATTATCACCCATTATTATTATATACCCATTAAAAAAAATACTGTGTTGATTTTATATTAATTTTGTCACAAATTCTAGACAATTTTTTCTTAACTACCGACGCAAAAAGGTGTTATACGTTTAACATGTCTATCTGTCTCTCTGTGGTATGGTAGCACCTAAAGGAATGGATCGATTACGGTGCGGTTTTTAGTTTGAAAGCGAACACGATGGAGATAGTTCTAAGCTACAATTTATGAAGATCTGTTTAGGCGTTTCTGGAGTTTTTATTTTTTTTATATTATATGTGTATTTTGTTTGTTTCTATAATTGTCATTTGGATCTTATTTTTTTTTATGGATGATAATAAAATGGTTACCCTGCCTGTTCTATCGGTATACGCTGGCGGGGCACCAGTGAGAGGTGATATCTGAGGATCAAAGCAGGTCAGTTAGCCCACCGTAAAGAATTCCACGAGAATTAACCACGATGGTTTCCAGGGGGAACCGCGTGGAGGTCGACCTGATAGGGTACTTTGCTAGCAATGGTGCTGTTAGACCCCATTACCAACAATCCCTTTCCCCCATTTGGCTCTTATTCACTGTCGTAGTCTGTCTTTTGCAGTTTTCTTTTAGTTTTTTTTTCTCTTTTCTCAATGTCCTCTACCCAAAGGTTGTCTGGAAGAGATTGCTTAGCGATAAGGCCATCTTTTGTATCACATCTCATTAAAATTAAATGTATTTACTATTTTATAAATGGTGCAATAAAGTAGATAAATAAGTAAATAAATAATTATTATCTATTAAATCTACTATTTAATTGTACTAAATACATCATCATAAAGTCCATAATATCCCTCATAATCTCCTTATTTATAAAAATGACAAACTTCTCATGAGCCTATTTTAGCTATTGAACTGTCTTATCTCTTTCTTTCACACTTTTTAAATTTTCAATTTGAAAGAAAGCGACGAAACAGTGTAATAGTTAAAATAGGTTTTTTTTTGATGGGTGAAAACGGTATGGTAACCCCGCCTGCGCTAACGGGATACGCTGGCGGAGCACCAGTGAAGGGTGATAGATGAGAATGAAAACAGGCCAGTTAGCCATTCAACAGGAATTAACCATGATAGTTTCCAGGTCGAACCGCGAGGAGGTCGACCTGGTTGGGTATATTGCTAGCAATGGGATTCTCAGTCTCCATCACTGACAATCCTTTTCTCCCTCCCCCCAATGTGTTAAGTTAGGAGAACATACATAACCTAGCCATGTACAACACACAATTTACAGGGGGGAAAAGGGATTGCTAGCAATGGAGTTTGAAACATCATTAGCGCAGGTTACCATTCCATTTTCATCCACCAAAAAAAAAAAACTTAACACATTGGATATATTATATACAGGGCCGTGCCTGACGGGCGTTCATTGCGTGCACCGCACGCAGGCGGCCGAAATTAAGAGGCGGCCAAATCGTTACAAGTTGTTTACTGGGCAAAAATACAATCGGTTTGTTTTCATTAAGATACGAAGTAAAAACGAAGTTTGATGCCCTGTGTATAATAATAAACATTAAAAATTAAAGTAGTTTTTTTTAATGTTATCCTGGGGGCGGCCATACAGACTGGCACGCAGGTGGCCATATACCCAGGCACGGCCCTGATTATATACTAATACCCGTTATCTATATATATTTCATTACATTATTAAATTACTTATAAAGGAAAGGTGTCATACATACATAGATAAAAAGGAAATATATACATTTATTAATATCAATTCTTTTTTTTAATTGAAATAGTATAGGAAACAATAAAGAGTATCTATCTATCTATCTATAGTGACTCGTAATTAGCCAGAGTTAATTCTTTTCACTTATTCTCAGCGCGCTTGTTACATGTGGACATTTTTCTTTCTCCAAATACGAGTGTCGTTCGTGTATAAAACGACAAAATGTATTCCGCGTGCTCGCGAGAGCTCTTGACGTTTCCTCTGAAAGGTTTGGCATATGTGTCATTACGCCGGTAACATATTTAGCCGTGCTCCCTCACCTACACTGCTTGTTACCGCGTCGTGTCTGAATTTGGTTATGCCACGAAATATAGATAAAAGCATTTTCACCTTATTTGTCAGCTGGCGAGATACAAATGGCGGTGTCAGTCGCTGCTATAAAGGTTTTGGCCCTTAACATGTGGAATTCTATAAATAATCAGAGAAAAAAGTACTCTAAAGCAAGAAGTGTGAATTTTTTATATATCTACCATACTGATTTGTTGTCAAAAGTTTTTATAAATAAAACTCTTGATTTTGTAACGGTTGACTGGAAGAAATCCCTCGAAGGGATACGTTCACATATGTATTTTATCTTTTCCTTACAACCTGTTATTTTTTATTTAGAATATGTATAGACAATATAGCTTATAAACACATTTTATGGTATACAACACAATTTATGGTATACCATACCGTAACGGCCGTTAATTACCCACTGCTCAACACAGGCCTCCTTCTATTGAGAGATTTTACCAGTAGTTGCCACGCTTGGCAAGCGAGTTAGCAACCACAGTTACAGATGACGATGAAAGTTTACCATCGCGCCACGAAGATCGGCATGGTCTTATATATTTTTTTTTAAGACAGAATGGCAAACACTTACGGCCCACCTGATGGAAAGTAGTAACCGTCGCCTATAGACATGAGCAGTACCGTGGACATAACAGAGCATACTGTTTCGCCCATGATACCCCCCATGCGTTGCGATTTCTGAGGACTCAGGTATTTTTCCTCTGTATCCTATAAATTCACGCCATATCCCACCCTTCAAACCGAAACACAGCTATGCAAACACAACTGCTTCACGGTAGAAACGCGAATGGGACGAGGTACACAAGCAAACGACTTTTGTACAAAGTCTCCCTCTGGTAAAAACATAAAGCTATATAAAGCTACATAAAGTACATAAAGCTATATATCCTTTTTACTACATTTTGATATTCATAAGAATAATATTACACTAAAACCCATAGATGTCAGTTTTTGAATATTTTGTTTATGAATTTATTATATTACTATATTATATTATTATTAGAAAAAGAAGAATTAAAAACATACCTACTTATTAGTTGAATGACAGAACACAATTAGGTTTTTAGGTAGTGAAACTGACGTGAAGACAATTTCACTTAAAATAAGGGAATTTACATTTAATTTTTCATGTAATTTAATATTTGTAAACGATATTTGAAAATTTATAAGACCTTTTAAATTTATGCTATCATTTTTGGACTTAGATAGATAGATACTCTTTATTGTTTCCTCCAAAAGATTACAATAGTTAACTTATTCTAGATATAAACATTTACAAGAAATAATCACAATGAGAAAACAATGGGCGGCCTTATCGCTAAGAGCGATCTCTTCCAGGCAACCTTTGGATGGAGAGGAGTAATTATAAACAGTTTGACTTAATAAGTTTACTACAATTTTTTATATATTTATTGGGTCGCGGTAAACAACAGTTAGTTAATTATATAAACTGCGTTCACCGCAACGGCTACAGTTGACAAATGACTCTGCCTAACCCATTAGGAACCGTATTTCTTAGTCATGAGGGTATATTTTATTTTTTTTAAATAAGATCATATTATATTATTCTATACAATATATAATATAATGCAATTCCTTGAATGAACACTTTTTGTAGCGTATATTTTTATTAATTTTCTGTTAGAGAAAAGTACTGGCTGGTAGAGAACGCTATTAAGCCCGCCATATATATGTATACTTACTTGTATATTTTAGCATTACAGTTTAAATAAATAAATAAATAATATTAAAATATTTTTTGGTAAATAAAGTTATTAAAATAAAAATAAATAAAATTTATAATATTAACTAAGGTGATGTAAATAATATTTTAAAAGACTACATAATTTACCGAATCCAGTGTCTTTCAACAATGCGATAGGAGCCGTTACTCTGAAAGCGAATGCAAACGAACTTTTGTCCACGCTTCATTCGAAACTTGGGTAATTAGTAGTTTTTCATTGTTCGCAGGTGAAAAGCGGCCTGGTGACAGACTGACGTCCGATGGATCCCCCCTAGCGGAATGGAGTGAAACTTACAAAAAATGGAAACTTGAATAGCCGAGAAAATGACTAACGTTAAATTAAAATTGATGTTCTTCCTTCTAAACTCCCTCTTGACCGCTGACATTATTCACGCTAGACCGTATTCCGACAGAAATTCTACAGATATTATAATTAAATTTAGTAATAATAATAACACATTCAATATACCTGTAGACTCTAATTCCGATACGCTAATCGTTGCGAACGATGATGAAACACCAGAGGAAACAAACAAAAGTTCCAACAATCAAATGGAGGCTATAGTTAACGCTGAACAAGATAGAGACGAAGCTATGTCAGAGAAGGTGATGAAAGATCAAATAAGCATCGCAGATGCAGAAAAGAAGGACGCTGGCGGCGTAGAGAAACAATTAAACATATCAGGTTCTACGTTAGAACAAATTATGAATTCTGAAACTGATAGGGATGAAACCTTAACTGATATTTTGTTTAGATCAGAATCAGAATTCGCTGATGATATGCCCAAGTTTGAGTTTCTAATCGCTACAAGGATCAATGAGAGCGATACAAACAGGACTGTTAAAGATTCAGGTTTTAGTGATAATAGTTTAGACAGGGTAAGGAACAGTAGTGATGTGTTAAAAAAAGTGGATTACGTGGAGCTAGTGGAAGTATTGAAGCCTAAAATAAGCGAGAACAAGAGCGCTTATTCAATGAACATAACGGGTCACGAAGTGGACAATGACCTAGCGCCAGATACAAGTGAGTGTCTATTTTGACTATCCAATTATATATTTTATTTTTTAATAAGTATATATCATATCTATGAATATAATATAATTATAATATATAATATAGGATTGTTTGTTTGTAATAAATAAACTTAAAAATTAATCCATCGATTTTAAAAACACTTTCACCTTTAGAAATTCTTTATAATCAGCGAATAACATAAGCTACATATTATTTTCGAAAATGTTGTTTACACGTGCGAAGCCAGGCCAAAACGTTAGTTGTATATATTAATATTTTTAATAAAAATAGGTACTCATTTCGTTGGTGCTTTTGCTCTTACACTAATGAATATGTTTTCATAGTTTGTTCAAATAATTTATTAATTTGGACAGCACTTGTACAGGCATTTAATTTCTGTTTACTTCTGTAATAAATTAATATAAGAGTTTATATAACTAATGAAAGGAACTGTAGACTATATATGTAAATTATGTTATATTGTCAAACATTTCCACGCCGACGTAGAGGGAGAATGTATACGGGATATGTAAACCTCTTTCGTTTAAAAATGTAGGTAACATTCCAGCAAAATATATTTATTACATTTAATTTTATATCTGTATTTTTGTCACTAATAAATTACGAAATTAATCGATTTTGTGATATTGCATTAATATATTTGCAGTCAATTGGACTTATTCGCATATTGGTTCCATATTAACCAGATCTATAAGAACTCAGCTTACTAGCTAACATTGCTAGGAGAACTAACTTATGTAAGTAGAAACACTCCTTCCTTTCCCGTGGGTGTCGTAAGAGGAAACTAAGGGAAGTCGAGGGAAGTGCAACGGCGTCCCTCTTAAAACATCTCTAAAGCCTAACTGCGGTTACCAGTCCGCCTGCTAAGCACTACTGGCAAAACCCCCCAAAGGGGGCGGCTTATATTCAGCAGCGGAAGGCTAAAGAATATGTTTGTGACATCGTCTTGTTGTTTGTCGGTGCGTTTTACTCATTTTAACACGAAAATAGTGAGAATACTAATTAATATCGATTTATTTACGTTTGAAGTCACTATTTTATTTTATTGCAGTATTAGTTCTATTTATGTAAGCTTGAAGAAATATACTTATTATATATAATTCAAGTCTGCTATATATTTGACATGGGACATGAATTGTTTACAAACTACTTCAGCTCTACAGCGGCTTACAACGTCGCATTTTACTTCTGAAAAGACTTTTGACAAATTAGCGGGCAGCTGTTATAAAATGCATGCTTCTAGACATCTCTCTGCGTATTTGTATTATGTCCCGGGAATAGCTGTCATAATTTCACGGGTTGCCGCGATTTGTAGCGTTGCTGGGAGCGTAAACATTTGTAAGTAGGTGCGTAAAGATTTGTAAATGGGACCGTAGAGATTTGTCAATGGGAACGAAAAGATTTGTAAATGGGAACGTAAATATTTGTAAATGGGAGCGTCGAGATTTGTAAATGGATGCGTAGAGATTTGTAAGTGGGAGTATTATGATTTGTAAATGGAAACGTAGATATTTGTAAGTGGGAGCGGCTACATTTGTAAGTGGGAGCATTAAATTTGAAAATGGAAGCGTAGATATTTGTAAGTGGGAGCGTATACATTTGTAAGTTTGAGTGTTAGGATTTGGCAATGAGAGTATAAAGATTTGTAATTGGAAACGAAGAGATTTGTAAATGGAAACGTAAATATATGTAAATGGAACGAAGAGATTTGTAAATGAAAGTGTCAAGATTTGTAAATGGGAGTGTAAAGGGGAATGAAGAGGTTTGTAAATGGGGTGTAAAGATTTATAAATAGGAGCGTAAATATTTATAAATGGGAGCGTAAAGATTTGTAAATGGGAACGAAGCGATTTTTTAATGGGAGCGTAGAAACTTGTAAATGGGAGTGTAGAAATTTTAACTAGGAACGTCAATATTTATTTTATTTATACTTTATTGTACACACTAATAATACATAAGGAAATATTACAGCGGAAATCAATTGTATAAAGGCGAGTTTAACTCTACAAGAGTCTCTTTCAGTAAATTAAAAGTAGAAAGCAGCATTAGAGCCAGCCTGTACAGTGTTTTTTTATTTTTAGTTTGATTGTTTGTTATCATTGGTATATTTAAGATTATATACGGGGGGGGGGGGGGGTAAAAATTCACCTTATGTATACTCAGTCATCTATTTGTATACACTTAAAAGCCTATGATTTTTCTCTTGGCATTCTAACATCTCAACTAACAACATAGGCTACTTTTAATCTTGATCAATAAAGATATCCCGGTCTCGCGAGTAAAGCCATGGGTAAAAACTAGTTAAAACAATTTATCACACAAAATAAATGCCACTTGTATTTGCAGTTTGTAAGTAAATAGAGTAACAACGAACTATGTATATATAGGAAGTAAGAGCAAGTACAATGATGTGGCAGGCTCCAGTGGCAGGCAGCCAAGATACTTATCAGAGATACGACTACAGTTTTGTGAACGAAAAAGTTCCGGATAAAACGTTGCACGTTAGAACTTTATGTTTATTTTTAACGTTACGCAATTGTTATAGTGGTGTGATGTGGTGTGCTTTTTATGATGTGATTTGTGGGAAAAATAGCAGTATCAATGATAATAAAATTAAAAGCAAAAAGCGTAAAGCATTTGTTGTCTTTGGTTCTTTAATGGATTGGTAATAAGGTAGTAAATCTACCTATGCTACCGGTATACAGTACATATATAGTACTGGCGGGGCACCAGTGAGGGATGATGGGTGAGGATGAAGCACGTCAGTTGGCTCTTTGTGACATATATATAAATTAAACTTTTAATTTGATACTCTGTTATGTCCATGGCACTGCTCATGTCTATAAGCAACGGTTACCACTTTCCATCAGGTGGACCGTCAGCTTGTTTGCCATTCTAAGTTGTATGAAAAAAAAATGTTACGTGAGTAAAGCCGGGGGGTAATGGACTATTAAATAATAACTTTGTTAACTGCGAAGTTTAAACAAAACAACAACTTGTACTAATCAGCAGCAGGCTAATAATTTTGATGTTAATAATTAACAATTTCTAAGTTTGCGTACAAAGTTCGATTATCGGATGCCCTCGGTTGGTAACATAGTTTAATATACTATCCTGGTAGATATTACACTAATTGACAGATAGATAGATAGATAAATAATTTATTTGCATTACTTACAGCACACAAATAGCAATAGACATAAATGCACAGTGAGAAAAAGATAAAAAACGATATATGTACCAAAAATAAAAAAAAAAAAAAAACAAAACAAAATACATAAAATTAGTAACAATTTTTTACCTTCATGCGTGAAAGCACAGTTAAAAATGTATCTCTTAATTTGAATGTTAATAACTGGATTACATAAAAATAAATTGGTCCCGGGATAGAACGGGCCACCCCTTCTTTACTTGTGGTGATGGACTATTTTATGCTGGAACCACACAGCAATGAATTGCACTAATAGTAGCGGAATAAAAAAAAAGAATTTTTAGGACCAATATGAAAGCCACACAGAAAATAACAATATAACTAACAATATAACCACAGAATACATATACTATGTTAATTTATTATATATATATATATATATATATATATATATATATATATATATATATATATATATATATATATATATATATATATATATGTAGTTTATGTTACATCCAATTCTTTGAGCGAGAGCTCCTTGTGTCACTTACACAAAGCTTAACATTAACTCTTTAAAAGTATCTAGTATTATATATATTACAAGAATATTCAGATACACATCTGTTTTCTCTCTATGAATTGCAAATGTGCAGGTTTTATTCAACCTAAACTAATGGAGGTCAAATTTTATTATGAACTCTCGAATCGAGATTCGTGACTTTATATTTTCTTTACAGCAGTGATTCTCAACCACTGTGCCGCGGCCCATTTTTTGTGTGCCGCCAAATTTTGCAAATATTTAAAATTTTGAAATCGTTAAATATGTGCCGCAACAAAAAAAAGGTTGAGAATCACAGCTTTACAGTATTTTTACTATTTATAAAGTCCTATTACTTGTAATTTAAGTATGAAATCCTTCGATTATAAAATATTTGAACTTACAGACTTACAGTGATAGAGTTTTGAAAAAAAGGTTTTAAAAGATGCAACTTTAGTCTTAAGTAAATTAATGACTTTTTTTATATTTTGTGTGCTTGTTTATATTAGTGCTTTAATACATACATATAAATATAAATAGACTTGTTATTGGAAAGCATTGTACAGCAGTTAAACGTTAGGGAAACTGATAATATTTAAATAGATCGTGCGCCTATTACTATAAAAATATGTAATATATACAGTTATTGTAATACATATTATATTATTACTATTATTTAATTATATATATATATATATATATATATATATATATATATATATATATATATATATATATATAATTTATTTTTATTAAGTATTATTACATTTTTTTTATGGCGCCCAACGTGGGTCTCAATAAATACAATTTATAAGGCCTGTCACTTTCAAATATAATAATATGCCTGTAGTGAATTACTATGTTTTTAAAAACGCTTTCTTAATAGTATTACAATGATGTGTGTTGGTATGCAACTTGTTGAAGTTTTATCCAATTCGTTAGGTTCCCTGATGGATAAAAAATAAATATTATTAATAGGTATTATTTATGTATATATGTATACCCATTATAATGTAAGTTTTTTAACTATAGCATTCCAAATTTAATAGTACTTAGGATTTGCGACTTTATAGATCAAGACCCACGGTGGGCGCCAACTCAATTGAAATACTAACAATAGGCAATAACGATTATTTCTTCTCGACTTGTACAACTTGGAATAGCAAATAAGCTATAATTTATTCTGTTATCGTCACTGTAAGGTTTATTGTTGTAAAACTGTAATGTATACTGTATTAATATTTTGTAAATGACTGTTTGTTGCCATAAATAAATAATTTGACGCCCACCTTATGGAAAATGGTAACCGTCGTCCATAGACATGAACAGCATCATGAACTTCAGAGAATACCAGAGGGAGACTTTGTACAAAAGTCGATTGCTTGGGTACCTCTGACCCATTCGTGATTCAACCGTGAAGCAATTGTGTTTGCATGGTTGTGTTTCGGTTTGAAGGGTGGGATATGGCGTGAATTTACTGGGTACAGAGGAATAACACCTGAGTCCTCAGGAATAGCAACGCATGAGAGGTATCATGGGCGAAACAGTATACTCTGTTATGTCCATGGTACTGCTCATGTCTATAGGCGACGGTTACCACTTTCCATCAGATGGGCCGTCAGCTTGTTTGCCATTCTAAGTTGTATAAAAAAAAGAAAAGAATAAAGTCTAACTTGTTGCTTACGCTTTGTTATTCTTCAGACCGAAATACAGTCATGCAAGCATAGCTTAATAACTACAGGTAGTAGGTTGTATTACTTTGTATTACTTTGCTGGTGTGTGTTGGCATGTGACCTGTCGCAGTTTTATCCGTGTTCTCAGGTTTCACTGACGTGCAGACCTTGTTCCTGGCATGCTTCGGGACGCTGCTGCCCTTGCTCGCTGTCCTCTTCGCTACGCTTCTCATCAGGTCAGTAATCACAAAGTTACTTGAATGGAATGTTCTTACCAAATTAGTTTACCTGTAGGAGATGTTACATTATGGGCCCAGTCATTGTACATTGTATTAAAATGTTGGAAAAAATATTACGATTATCTGAAAATAGAATAAAATTAAATAAATAATTATTTGTTATAATAAATAGTCTAATAAACAATATGTATTTGATGTTTTTGTGCATTATATGTACGTAAAAATTATTAATTCACTCTTGCGCCACCTACCCATTTCTATATGTTCTCCTTTAACCAAAGGTTGTCTGTAAGAGATTTCCCTAGCGATAAGACCACCTTTTGTACCTTTATATGTATATTTCGATCTGTACTCCATGCCATTGTATTTCAATTGAATTGTTTATATGTCATTGTTTATTTTTATGTTTTTGGTGCAATAAAGATTTAAATAAATAACCGAATAATCTGTTGGAACAAAATGTTTTTAATATTTCAATTTATTTTTATTTTATTTTATTATAATAGGGGAACAAACAGTACCTAATATATATTAATAAATACAGCCATAACATGCTATATCAGTAAAGTTACCACAATAAACTCACATATCAAATAAATGAGAGCATATGATTAATATTAAATTTCTTTACATCAAGTTATATGTTAAAAATGACCAGTTCTCTACAAATGTGAAACATCTCTTTTGTTTATTAAGCAGTTGTTTATTTATTTATTTATTTATATGGTCACTAACATAAGATACAGCAAAGCATTTCAATACGATACCCTATTGGATTAGATCTAACTGTTCTTATATTTAGAGGCACAGTACGATTTCGTCGTGTAGCATAAACCAGAGGGAGACTTTGTACAAAAGTCGTATGCTTGGGTACCTCTGTACCATTCGTGTTTCAACCGTGAAGCAGTTGTGTTTGCATGGCTGTGTTACGGTTTGAAGGGTGAGATATGGTGTGAATTTACTGGGTACGGAGGAATAACACCTGAGTCCTCAGGAATGGCAACGCATGGGGGGTATCATGGGCGAAACAGTATATTCTGTTATGTCCATGGTACTGCTCATGTCTATAGGCGACGGTTACCACTTTCCATCAGGTGGGCTGTCAGCTTGTTTGCCATTCTAAGTTGAATAAAAAAAAATAGGCCACCCTACCTTTCCTGTGGGTGTCGTAAGAGGCGACTAAGGGAGGGCAAAGGATAGGCAGCAGCGTCCCTCTTAAAACATCTCTAAAAGCCTAACTTCATCCATTCATCATTCATTTTTATTATTGATGTTAAAAAAAATGAGATTTTTGTTCGACCGTCTTTGAGTTTGCGTTGCAAATGTTGAATTGAAAATTAATTTTATGCCGGCATAAAGTAAAATTGCAAGAAAAGATATTGAAATTTTAATATATTTGGGCAGATCTGTCTTTTTTATTAAAATTATATAATGTGGCATAGATGTCGTATATTTCTGAAACATCTTTATAAAAATACTAGCTTTATATTGCCGAGGTTTTTCGAAGAGATTACAGCATGGGGTTCTTCAAAAAAGAGGTACTGCTGGTATTTCAGGCGTTCATAAGCTATGCATGGGGGGTATCATAGGCGAAACAGTATACTCTGTTATGTCCATGGTACTGCTCATGTCTATGGGCGACGGTTTCCGCTTTCCATCAGGTGGGCTGTCAGTTTGTTTGCCATTCTAAGTTGTATAAAAAAATCATAGGCTACGATAACTGCTTACCATCAGATGGGCTGTATGCTTATTTGCAACTTCAGTGCTATAAAAAAAAAGTTGTTACCTGCTGTTTTGTTCGTGTCCAGTGTATAAAGTATACTGCGTAAAGTTACGATATAATCTATCCGTGTACAAAATTTTATTCAAATTCGTTCAGCCACTTAAGAGTGACTGAGTAACAAAAATCTTCATAAATTTTCATACTTGGATTAATATTATATAAAGGGATTATTTGATTTTTTCTTTTGTAAAATTCTTGTTTAAAAACTCTTTTACTTATAGGAAACTCTTTTTTAGCAAGAAACATAAAGAAAGTAAAAGAAATAAATAAATAAAGAAAGACAAAAATATTTATTTAGTGCTCAATTTCACATTTATTTACAAAAAATATATAACAATAAACAAAAAGAAAAAAAAAAAACTAAAATGGTGTCACTCAGATATATGCCATGTTCTTTTGAACATGATGCTGGCTTTCAGTAGCACCAATTTGTCTCTCTAATTATCACTTAAAATTATACTAGTAAGATAATATAGTTAATTATTCATATATATTAATTATATACAAAATTATATGTAAAAAATATGATCTATCTATTATATACACAGCTTACATCTACGTTCTATACATATAAAAAACAAGATCTTAAAAAAATTACTTAAAGATAAAAAAATTCTTTGAAATCATTGCCACTTAAAATAAAAAAAGCCGTGTAAAGTCGAGACGGGTGCTAGTTGATAATAATAATAAGATTTATTCTCGTTTGAAAGCAAAAGTTCTATACATCTGGTCTGTAGGTATCAAGTCAATATGGCGTATCGTTCATGTATTGAGCTTCTCAGTATGTTTGAGCTTCAATAAGAGTGCTTATTCACGGAAGGACGGACGATTTGATATTATTGGATTCATTTTATGAACACTGCTATTTTTATATTGTTATCTAGAGAAAATTGAAGCAGATTTGATATTACAAATATGTCACATTGTTATAACGGGAACACGTGTAGGTGATCTTTTAAATCTTTATTTTACTTTATACCAGACCAGACAGGGAGACTTTGTACAAAAGTCGATTGCTTGATTACCTCTGTCCCATTCGTGTTTCAACCGTGAAGCAGTTGTGTTTGCATGGCTGTGTTTCGGTTTGAAGGGTGGGATATGGCGTGAATTTACTGGGTACAGAGGAATAACACCCGAGTCCTCAGGAATGGCAACGCATGGGGGGTATCATGGGCGAAACAGTATGTGTGTGTACTGTTATGTACATGGTACTGCTCATGTCTATAGGCGACGGTTACCACTTTCCATCAGGTGGGCCGTCAGCTTGTTTGCCATTCTAAGTCGTATAAAAAAAAACCTGACCTGCTTTATACTTACCTATCACCCTTCACTGGTGCTTACTCCGGTGTATACCGATAGCGCGGGTGGGGTTACTATTCCATTATCACCCATTAAAAAAAAGCCTCGTGTAACCATATCGTGTGCCAATACTAAGAAAGAGGTAGGTAATCGAATAGACTGACGGGCGGTGCGTCGGTAAGTGGAGCTACAGGAGCCATTTATTGTGTTAGATTGTATTGTACGCGTGTTCGCCGAAATAAGTAAGACTTTCGGAATAAGTAAGGATAATAAGTAAGAAGGAAGTTCGACTAAGTAAGAGTAAGAAATATTGGGCAGAAGTGATACTTTTGTGAGTTCAGTAATAAAATCAGAACCGGATACTCCAATCCTCATACTTATTACATTACCGCCTTCTGCATTTAATTTCTTCAAAAATAACGTATTAAGATTTCTTAAGGGTCGATAACGCGAGCGTGACGTCCCTGTTATAGGCATTCATGGGCTACGATAACACCGTTTACCATCAGACGGGCCGTGTGCTTGTTTAACACCATAGTTGAATAAAAAAAAAATTTCGTACTGTTAGTGTGGGCGACTTGTTTAATATAAAAAATAAATTTGACTACACATCAAAGTAACTAATTTACTTTTTACACAATACTAGCGGCCCGTCCCGGCTTCGCATGGGTGGACATTTTTACAACATTTTACATCTTTATCTGTACCTACCTAGCTACCTATTTCATAGATGTGCCCGCCCCCACCTGTAAACCTTCCGCACCGCTAAAATAGGTACGAATAACATGTAAAACGCGACAGCGTTATTTTTTCTATTTCTATGAATTATTAAATTCGTAATATCTATCGAATGGAATAGCCGATTTTAACAATATATTTAAAAATATAAACACAAAGCAATAATTATCGCTGACAATTTACTTTAATCGAAGCACGTCCAAAATGAAATGACCGCATGAATGACATAACAACATGCTTGTACTGTCAACACTGAAAAAAGCTTCAATTTGACAGCACAATCTCCACCTTAAAAAATTTGTGACAAATACAAACTGTATTTGACACAAAAATCCCCATTAATAAAATGATCCGCCATTTATTGCATTCGTTTGTTACAAAAAATGTGACAAATGATGAACCGCTCGACCGATTCTGTGCAAACTTCACACAAACCATCTAGTAAATACGTCCGAACAAAGCCTGAACATTTGGTTAGGATAGATGAGGCCGTTCTTGAGTTATAAAAATACAACGAAAAGTGGCATTTATATATATATATTTATATACCGCGAACCGCGAGGAGGTCGACGTGGTTGGGTATATTGCTAGCAATAGGATTCATAGTTTCCATTACTAACAATCCCTTTCCCCCCTATGGTGGAGGTTTGGGTAGCAGCGTTCCTCTTAAAACAACCTCAAATCCTACCTGCAGTTGCCAGCATGTCTACTAAGTGTGGCAATTACTGGTAAAACCCCTTTTATGGGAAGGCTTATGTTCAGCAATAATTAGTATACACTGGCACCAGTGAGGGATGATAGGTGAGAATAAAAAGACAGGCCAGTTAGTCCTGTTTCAATCCGAAACATAGATTTATTTTCTATACATTATTAATGTAAAAAAAAAAATAATACTATTAAAACTTTACAGTAAAAAATTATAATAAAATATGGCTCCGCAAGGAAGGAACAGGATTAATACGTGGTTTTATTTTATACAATTTCCCTAATTAACATTATCCACCTAATATACTACGGAGACAAATTAACTTTCTTCTCGGACTATCCAGAAGATTTTGATCCTTCGAGCCGGATTTGAACCTATGGATTTATGACCAAATTAACTTTCTTCTCGGACTATCCAAGTCCATCGCGATGAATACACTTGGAATTCAGCACAATGGTTTCCAGGGGGGTACAAAGTGGATGTCGACCGGACTGAGTATATTGCTAGAAATGCCCCTCCCACCTATTAATTGTTACACCTATTATTATATGTATGGTTGTGTCAACTAACTTCGTCTAAGATGTAATGTGCGCAGCGTTTTAATTAAGAAGTTTAAACAATGGATGCCTTATCGAGCCGGTGATTACAGAAGCGATTTCAGAGCTGGGTAATTCGAGTTTTGATTTGATTATGACGCAGTCTGGTAATAGCAATAATTCACACACGCGCGCGCGCGCACGCACACATAGTCTGTATTTTGTTTTTTTGTTAACTTTGCCTAAGTTATATACTAGAAATAAGTTTTAATGTTAAGTTTATTCTTGCACTCTATATCTTATTATTGTTATCTGTGTATTATAACACTAATTGGTTGCCTTGTATTTGTGTAGTCCATGGAGATGGGGCACTGGTGACTTGTAACACAGGTTCTTCTAAACCTACCGCAAGCACCAGTCTCTCACAAAACTGGTCTTCATTTCAAATTGTACCTCATGTTGTTACTCTGTTCCACCTTTTGTGAAGAGAAAATAAACCGTTCATTCATTCATTCATTCATTCATTCATTCTGTTCGGAAGTAACGTTTGGAAAAAGTTAATAGGTCGTATATAGAATAAGGAATGTTATAATAAGATACCGAAGGATATTTTGGACCTACCTTTTGATAAATTTAAAACTGTTATTAAGAAAATTTTATTGAACAAAGCTTTATACACTAAACGATTATTTGTATGACAAATGTGTATGGTGTTAGTGGATCATGCACGGGATTTTATTTAAATCAAACTTGATTTGTATTTTTTTTTGTGAAACATAATCTTAGATTATAATACGTTAAAAAGACTACTTTTTACAAAATATAGAAATGTTATCAACGTTATTATTAACCGAGAAATTTAAATACATTTGTTTTTTGGATAACATAGAATGGCTAACAAGCTGACGAAATGTGTAACCGTCGTCTTTTCTGTGTATAATATTATAGTATACTGTGTCGCCTATGTTACTTCTCATATGTTGGCATATTACTAATACGACGTTCTTCCACGAGGCCTTATTAGAAAGGTTTAGTCCCGTAAGTATCGATACGACCTCAGTTTATTCCCATAAGGAAAATCCTTTGAAGTACCACTCACTTCATTTACGACGAACCTACCTCGCATGTAACTCGCATACAAATGATCTAATATTAATTGCAAACTACACGAATGGTAGTTTATATTCGTCACCGTCATCATATCAGCCTTTAACTGTCCACTGCTGGACATAGGTTTTGCTAGTAGTTGCCACGCTTGGCAGGTAGATTGGCGAACGCAGTTAGGCTTTGGAGATGTTTTAAGAGGAACCCTGCTGGTCATCCCTCGACCATTAAGTTGCAATAGTGAATTTGTGAATCATTTACATTGTAAATATGAATGACGGAGTGGTTCGCTTTATAATGCTAAGTTGTTCATAGAGCTATTTCAAAAGTGGCCATTTTTCGTCCCATACTTTACCCTATTATACTTCTTTACAATAATTGCAATTTTTTAAACATGAGACAATTGTTTATATTGCATGGCGTCGTTTTAATGCATTCTAAGACACCTTATGTTACGAATACTAAACGCCGTAAAGACAAAATGTTCCCTTCCAAGTTTTCCTTTATTAAACGGTTCTTTTACTATTTCGGACCCTTTCTCTATAACAAAATAAATTTAAAAACATCAAGTTTTGGACGTAAAAACAGGGTACGCATATTTCTTCTGAATAAGACATATGAGGAAACGGATTGTTTGATGCAGCTTAATGTACATATATGCTATATTGCCAATGTGTAGGATAGTGTATTTTAATTTTTTTTTAATTGTTAAATTATGTATACAGCTTTATTGTAGTTACTCTATAACAATATTATTTACCCCATAATACTAAAGGGGGTTGGGGCTGTGGCCTCTTAACACAGGTTATTATTTTAACCTATTTAGGAGCCCAGTTCTAAAACCATAATTACTGTACCCTTATAAAACTATAATATGAACATTAGTTAAGAAACTACAGTTATGTTTTTTTTTACGAATACATCTAATTTCATTTCATTTCAATCTTCTTAACAGTAGATAAATAAATGAAAATACAGAGTAGGCATGTGTAGTATGGATATTGATTTGATATCTATACATATATTGGGTTCGTCTAGATTTTTACAAAAATTACTGAACTGATTTAAGTGAAAATTGGTGTATGGATAGGTCATATACTTACTTAGAACAGGATATATTATATTCTGACTTACCAGAGGGAGATTTTGTACAAAAGTCGTTTGCTTGGGCACCTCTGTTCCATTCGTGTTTCTACCGTGAAGCAGTTGTATTTGCATAGCTGTGTTTCGGTTTGAAGGGTGGGATATGGCATTGAATTAACAGGGTACAGAGGAATAACCCGAGTCCTCAGGAATGACAACGCATAGGGGGTATCATGGGCGAAACAGTATACTCTGTTATGTCCATGGTACTGCTCATGTCTATAGGCGAAAGTTACCATCAGTTGGGCCGTTAGCTTGTTTGCCATTCTAAGTTGCATAAAAAAAATACTTACGCTGTCGAAGCTACGGAATATAGCTAGTATAGCATATACATATATGAAAAGATACAAACAGATTAGACACCGCCTTTTTGGTGAGGGTTAAAAATATACTATATATATATATTTTCTTTCACTATTCGCTTCTAGATAGTTTTCGAGACAGTTCTATTGTCCATTCGTATATAAGATACGAGGCATTCGTATGAAAAAGGTAGAGAGAAATTTTATTAAGTTTCTTAGTATAAAAACTACAATATGAAGGTCAACGGAGGGCCGCAAGTATTTCTAAAGCATTATTAAATGTAAGTCTTTGGACACTGTGTTTATGTACCGCTGAATAAACCCTTTTTCACCAACATTTGATGTTCACTTTGTGAAATGGATTGATGTTTTAGAAATATTTTCCTTTTTTATTCGTGTAGATGGTCACCGTCAGCTTTGATCTTTATCGTTTTTTATTGGTGTTATAATATATAATTTTATACCATACTTTGTATAAAAGTCGTTTGCTTGGAAACGTGTCTGTCCCATTCGTGTTTACACTGTGAAGCAGTTGTATTTGCATGGCTGTGGTTCGGTTTGAAGGGTGGGATATGGCAGTGAATTTACAGGGTACAGATGAATAACACCTGAGTCCTCAGGATTGGCAACTCATGGGCGAAACAGTATACTCTGTTATGTCCATGGTACTGCTTACGTCTATAGGCGACGATTACCATTTTCTACCTTAGAAGATTTTGTCAGTAGTTTCCATGTTTGGCAGACGAGCATTTTTCATCAGGTGGACCGTCAGTTTGTTTGTCATTGTAAGTTACATATTTTTTTTTTAAATGTTTTATTACAGCATTCTTTTTCTTTACCTGAATTAAACCGTAAAGGAAGTTAAATTGAACAATTTGAGTTAAGAAATTAGTTAATAGGAAACTGGATCGGGGCCAAAGTTTCATTGAATCCATTCGTAGGTACAAAGTTAGGCACAAATGCTTCCGACATATTCTTCGTTTAGTATTTAATCATATCTTATATTATACTAGATGCAGGTGGCCTCACGATCGTTCCTTATGGTAGTCTATGGGAGGCTTATGTCCAGCTGTGGACAGATAAAGGTCGAGGCGATGACGATGATACTAGATGTCGCCACTGTCAATTTAAAAGGTGATATGTTTTGTTTCCATGGTTTAAATCATGATTATCGTGTTCCTACCGTTATCACAAGTGCTATTCGGGGTCAGCGTAATATGTTTTTCTCTTCCATTTTTCACTACTTACAGTCATTTCCACTTTCATTCCCATTCTGGCCATATCATATTTCACACAGTCTATAAATGTCTTTTTAAATCTTCCTCTGCCCTTAGATGGTTTGAATTTAATTATTTTAATAAAAATTCTGGGCATGAATAACCGGCCGGCGGCCGGCTCGCACCTGTACTGCTCAGTTTGCTCCCACTTATCAGGCTATTTCTCTGCTCAATTCTCCGATTGCTCAGCAGCCAGGTATTGATTTTTTGTATTCAACTTAGAATGGCAAGCAAGCTGACGGCCCACCTGATGGAAAGTGGTAACCGTCGCCTATAGACATGAGCAGTACCGTGGACATAACAGAGTATACTGTTTCGCCCATGATACCCCCCATGCGTTGCCATTCCTGAGGACTCGGGTGTTATTCCTCTGTACCCTGTAAATTTACGCCATAACCCACCCTCCAAACCGAAACACAGCTATGCAAACACAACTTTACAGTTGAAACATGAATGGGACAGAGGTACCCAAGCAAACGACTTTTGTACAGTCTCCCTCTTGTTCATATATTTAATGACAAATTAGATATATATTTAAAATGTTGTTTAAATTTTTTAAGTTTATAAAATAAACCTTTAGCTCACTACACGTTTTGGAATACTGTAAGTGTGGTGAGCAATTTATAAATAAATAAATAAATATATGTTATAGTGCAATATGCTGTTGGTGTTCCTAGAAATAAATAAATAATATTTTAAATTATATATTAAGTACCTATGTTTGTTTATTTCATTCTTCTTTGGTCTCTTTTGTTATATTTATTTTAATATAAAATATATTTCTAGGTGCATGTGCCGGCGCTGGTGTCCTGGCTGCTGCAAGAAGTCCACCAGCTCCTCAGTCTCGGAGAGCAGCGAGAAACAAGAGGCCAATCAGCAGGTCAGTGATGATTATAGTAATGATGATTGGTATCTTTTAAACCGATTTCAAAAATAAAGAGTTAAATTAAGTCATATTTTTGTAATAATTATAACTTTATACCTCCGTCAGTTGTAAACCGATTTGAAAAATTCTTTTTTTATCTGAAAGAATAATGGGATTAAAACATTGTAATATTTTGATTTATTTATTTATTTTTTAGTGCATGTATGTGTACATGGCGGACTTAATGCTAAAATCATTCTCTGACAGTCAACTATATACTAAAATTACATATATTTATTATTATTGACAATGAATTTACTGGGTACGGAGGAATAACACCCGAGTCCTCAGGAATGGCAACGCATGGGGGGTATCATGGGCGAAACAGTATACTCTGTTATGTCCACGGTACTGCTCATGTCTATAGGCGACGGTTACCACTTTCCATCAGGTGGGCCGTCAGCTTGTTTGCCATTCTAGTTGCATAAAATATATATATATATTATATAAACGAATACATTTACACTTACACATATATAAAATATACTATATCATAAACGAAAGTGAGAATAATATATAGCACTTACTTATTATTATTATTATTGATTGAATTAAAGAGATAAATATTGGCATTTACTAACAGTTAATATTTAATAATTATATCTTTTTTTTTTAATTATATACATTTACATCTTCACGCCTTCACGTGGGTAAAATAGGTCCATTGTTTGTAACTATTAAGTAAATAAAAAATAAATTTGAACAGTATCAACAATTGAATGAGATTAAGCCGACGAAAGCCACTGTTACCTTCAAATTTCCTTCTTTTGAAGCAGTTAAGGAAATAGCCACTTACTGAAACGGGGCTCATTATATGAAATAACTGTTTTTGTTTTAAAGCACTCAGATGTTTAACCGTTTTCAATGATAACGGTTAATGAAAACAATAACAGCTATTTATATATTTTCTCAATGACATAATCGACATTGTTTGTGCGTGTGTGTGTGTGTGTGTGTACGTGTGTGTGTGTCTTTATTTGTTTCTATTTATTTTACGGAAAGTTTCTGTGTCCGTATTTATGTTTTCTTGAAAAACGGTGATAAAGATGCCGCTTTTGTTTGTTTGTTTCTTTTTCTTTTAAATTACGCAATGAATTTTGATTTTAATTTCGACGGATTTCATTGTTATTTAAATATTTTACAGAAGATTTTTATGTACAATTTGCAGCCGTGGGAAGCCGTGCTTGGTCACTAGTTTAAATATATAGTCATTGTTTATTATAGGGGGGGATTTACTATAAAATATAAACAGTATAATATTGTTGGTAAATTGAATAAATTTAATGAGTTTTTTTATGTATTTTTTTTTATATATAACTTAGAATGGCAAACAAGCTGATGGCCCACCTGATGGAAAGTGGTAACTGTCGCTTATAGACATGAGCAGTACTATGGACATAATAGAGTATACTGTTTCGCCCATGATACCCCCCATGCGTTGCCATTCCTGAGGACTCAGGTATTATTCCTCTGTACCCAGTAAATTCACGCTATACCCCACCCTTCAAACCGAAACTCAGCCATGCAAACACAACTGCTTCACGGTAGAAACACGAATGGGACAGAGGTACCCAAGCAATCGACTTTTGTACAAAGTCTCCCTCTGGTAATTGAATTAAACTCTAAAAGTATATGCAAGGATGGAAAACCTTGAAACTTTCAAGATAGGCTATATATTAACTTGTACATGCAATAAAACCAGTGTAGTGTGAGCGCCTGAATTATGTCAGTTAGCTCGTAACTACAATTTGTTGCTCACACAATTTAGCCAGGCGTTTATGAAGTTAACGCGTTACTAACGGCTTGATTTCAAGATAATTGCATAATATCATAGATGATATCAATAGACGCAAACAATTTCAGAGCAATAATGTTAGCTAATATTTTATTTCATATAAAAATATCTCTAATTATCAACATTACTCTGTATTCTGTCCCTAATATGTGATGTAACGTTAGAGTTGAAATAAATATGTCAGTAAAACGTTTTTAGTTTAATATTAATAACAGTTCGCGTTATATTAACAGCTATAAATATAACGCGACTAGTGACATAAATGCAAATTTCCATTTTAATATTCTAGCTGGTTGAATGAAATGAAGGAGCAATGTGCCGGCATACGAGTATTAGCTATAACTATATATCGTATACAGCTATGTCGTATTAGTGATGGGCTAAGTCTGGCTGACTTGAGTACCGATTGGAATATCTACTGAGAACTCAATTAATCGAGTTCTCAGTGTACGGAATTTGGATAGACGATTTACGTTAGACGTTTGTTGTTAATTTTTGTTCTTGTTTCAGGGTTTTATTATTTTTTCTTAATTATAGAAAGCGGAAATATTAAATAACTAAACACACATACAAATCAGTTGTAGAATGTAAGTAATCGCATTACTTCAGTACGCTTGCGCCTATTCGGCTAATTCTTTTTTTATTGGATTTGTAATTGTTAGGACGAAGTTTGAATGAAAGGAAATGTTTAAAAAATTGTACGAAAACGTGAACAATTTTGCTTAAAAGAGAGTGAGATTTGGTTTTATGTTCTTCATTTATACATTCGTGCGAAGTCGGGGCGGACAGCTAGTCCTTAAGTAAGCTTCAAAAACCAAATAAAAAATACTTTGATTAAGTATTCGCATACTCAGTACTTATTCGAGTTCTCAGATTCGAGTGAGTATTCGATTATTGTTTTAATGATTATCAGTATATTCGAATTTCAAAAAAGGCTCACTCGGCACATCACTACGCCGTATTATCACCCTATCCTTTGTTTTTAGTGTTTGTATTATACGGAACGCGCTGGAATTTGCAATGTTCTACAATTATGTCATTAACGCTACCGCGGATTAGGTTATTGTTCACGGAATTGAAACGTTTTTTTCAATTAACGTTATTTTAGTTACCTCCGATTAACCGACTACAGAAAGGAGGTTCTCAATTCGACTATATTATTTGGTATTTCAGTTTATGCAATATTTTCATTAATAATATACGGATGTTGTCTTTTATAACACCCGACGCAAAAAAGAGAGCGTTGTAAGTTTGACGTGTCCGTGGCATCGTAGCTCCTAAACGAATGGACCGATTATGATGTGTTTTTTGTTTGAAAGTTGACATGATCGTGATGGTTCCTAGCTACAATTATGAAGATCTATATTTTGCGTTTCGGGGGTTACTTAAAATTTGTAATTTTATTTATTATTTGTATTATTATTTACTAGTTTTTGCCAGTTATTTATGTGTGGATTTTGAAAGTATGTAATCTAACTGGATTATGTATAAAGATAAAACATTCATCAGGTTTTAAATGAGACTTTTAGGATTGCAACAGTAAGAACTGTAGTTCAAATGGTCAAATAGTTTTTGCGTGATACCTGAAAAAAAAACAGAGATAGACGCTAAAATTCTAAAAAATATTGTTTTGACATTATTTAAGAGAATTATCTCTTATAAATAAAAACCGATCCTTGTATATTTACAATTTTATTTTATTAATTAATTAATAGCAAATAATTTATTTTATTGTACATAAATATGTAGATGGTATATAAAAATGTAGAATATACGCTGTGGTATATGTGTATGTATGTATGTATGTATGTATATATGATTATCCGTGTATGTGTACATTTTGTTTTGGTTTTATATTGTATATATAGTTGTAAATGTGTAAGTAAAACTACTTTTTGATGCATAAATTATATTGTGCTTACATACTTGTTTACTGTGTGTTTATGATTTGATCATGCTGTATACCCATATTTCTGGAGGGTTAGCATGAACAAAACATTATTGTACCCTATAAATTAATATAACACTGTTATTTCTTTGTAATGTGTACTATTGAAACAAAATAACTATATATAGTAACAACTCTACGTTTAACAGTTATTAAAATTAAGCTAGTTTATAACTTTATAAATAACGTTATTTATAACAGTTTTTGATTGACGTTACGATACGCGATTTCACTGGCAATTTAGCCACGGTGCAGGGTATTGTTTAAAATTTAAACGTAACAGAATCACTGGCGCACATAACGCGTGACAGTGAATAATTGAGGTTAGAAACATATGGCTTCATTTAGCCGGCGCTCGCGTTACTGCACATGTACCTAACTGGAAATTGAGGGGGAAAGGGATTGTTAGTAATGAGATTTAACAGCCCCATTGCTAGCAATACACCCTATCAGGATTCCCCCTGGAGACTATAGTGGTTAATTCTTGTTCAATTGGTTACTATGAGCCAACTGACATGTCTTAATCTTCACTTGTCACCATTCACTGGTACCCCGCCAGTGTATACCAATAGCGCAGGCGGGGTTTCGACTACATCTTCACCCTTTAAAAAAGATTGGAAATTGAAAAATTAGTTATTTTTTTAAGTTTAATATTTAAGTATTTAAGCATACTAGCTATGCTTGATTTAATAGAGACATTACGATATAGTAGGTTTGTAATGAAACAAAGTATAATGCACCAGTCGGACAGGCGGAAAACATAAAATAAAATTTAATTCGACTATGAATTCCGCAATAGTGACAATTCTTTTTTCTCCAATAATTCTTCTTAATTAATAAAATCTATCAATAAAAAAGCTGACATTTTAAACGCATTTACAGACCGCTACGTGTCCTGCCAAATAACGTTCCCGTATGTTTTTATATTACTACACTAGCGTCATTTATTCACATATGACATGAGAAGTATTACTAGATATCTTGCTGTTATTCCGACTAGATGGAGGAAAAAAGCAATTAGGAATAGAAACAACTGGCACTGGAATAATACGTCATTTATAATAGAATGCTTGATGAATATAGTGGTTTGTATGGCTCTGTATGGAAGCTAAATGAACATATAGATTATAAATATTTGGTCGGTGAATTTAGCTGGTTCATCTGTCATTTGTTGTACTCTTTAACAAATATTATGTTTCTAAGTACTATTTC